ATTTCTAAGGTATGTTGTTAAATGATAATAGTGCAAGCCCCCGTGCAATAAATAGCATATGATAAAGTATGGACAAATGGATGAATGGATGGAAGGATGGATGGATGGATGGATGGATGGATGGATGGATGGATGGATGGATGGATGGATGGATGGATAGATGGATGGATGGATGGACAGATGGACGGACAAAGGGATGATGGATGAATTGGGTGGATGGGTGAATGAGCAAGTCAACAGATAGGTGTAGAGTGGATGGATGCATGGATGGGGACACATATGGACAAACAAACTTCCTCTCTACCCTTCGCTTCACCTGGAAGTGAATAAAGACTGGTCGTGCCGATTCCATAGCTCCGTCCACTCAGAGACAAACCATCGAGGACAAGCTCTGGGAACTCACCATTTCTGCAGGGGAGCTGGGAGTGAGGTAGAATTCCTTCAGGTGCAGGAAGAAGCCTCCCAGTTGTCCAATCAGCAAGAGAAGAATGACTCCATCTGCAAACTGTGAAGGAGGGGACTAAAGGTTCACAGCCTGGGGGATCCTGCTCTGTCCCCCACAGGCTGTGTGGCCCCATGGAGGTCACATGACCTTTCTGAGCCTCAGCTTCCTTTTGAGAATGGGGACGGCATCCCTGACCTTGCAGCATTGTAAATGTGGGCAGCTGCGGGTATAAAGCAGTTATTGGCTGCCTGGCACCTAGTACATGCTCAATAAAACGAGCTGGTTTTTTTTTTACATTTTCTGTAAAATAGCCTCCTATCATTTTTCAAATCCTGTGCTGTACCATGAGCACAGAAGCACAGGAGAAAACAGAGTTAAGTGTGAAATTATCCCGTCAGCGAAAGTCGGGGAATGGCACGCAGGGCTCCTGCTGCCAGCTGTGCCGTTAATATTTCTGTCTGTTCCGTCGCGTGTTCGGAGATAAAGCCATCGTCCCGCCACGTGCACAGCACACGCTGACACAGCCCTGTCCGATCTCGGCAAAGACAAAACGCGAGATCGGATATTGAAGGAAAACCACCACTCGGAGGCCCTGATGGATGTCCACCTCTTGGGTCCTTTTTGTTGTTATTGGTTTGGCCTGAAATCTTTTCTGCTGCCAGGTCCTGGTGAGGCCACCAAAACCCCAGGGACTGCAACGTCCCCCGCCGCCCAGCGGTCTCTAAATACCGTCCTCGCACGCGCCGTTATTATTTCACCACAGGAGAGAGAAAGATGAACTAGGTAGAAGGGAAACCTAAGAAACCATCTTGTTTGTACCCACATAAAATATAACGAAGACATATTGATTATTTATTGCGCATCGGCAGTGTGCCGGTAATATGCTAAACAGCAGATATCCATCCCCTCGTTTATCCCTCGCAGTTCTGTGAGGCTAGTATTCTTGTGCCCGTTTTAAAAGAGGAGGGGCCTGAGGCTCCGAGAAGTGCAGGTCCGAGGCCACACAGCCGAGCGGGGAGGTGTCCTCGGAGCCCAGGGCCAACACCTGTCCATCTGGCTTCAGAGTTTCATAGCTCCACTGTGCTGTGGTCACCACACCGCATCACACACAGACTTCCTGTGCGGCTACCATGCGAGGTGGTGACAGGCACAAACTCCGGCCTCAGCGGACTGGGGTTCGAATCCCAGGTCCACCACTTAATCGCCGTGTGACCTTGGGCGAGTTAAATAACCTCTCTGTGTTTAGTGTGCCCATCTGTACAACGAGAGAGTGAGTATCCATTCCCATGGGAGGGCACTGTTGGAAGGCTTCAGAGACATAACGATGGAAAGCACTGTGCTCCGGGCCGGGCGCATAGTGAGAGCTTTGTTGGTTTCAGCTACCAGGCGCGGGAGTATGTCAACCCCACCCTCTCTGGCTGGCATCTGGCTCCATCTCCTTCTGATTAGAGACGTCAGCCACTCTGGCTAAGATCCCGTAAGCCACTCGGCTCCTCCAGACCCGCCTGCTCTACCCCTGGCCTCGCTGCACGAGGGAACCGAGGCAGCCTCACGCCTACACCACCACGCTCAGCCCCGGGCTGACCACCGGCCTCTCAGCTTCTCCGATGGCCCCCGGGCTGAGGGAGCGCACCGGATGCACAGCGTCCTCGCAGAAGGCCACGACCCACCACGAAGCGCTGCCCACGTAGGAGTCCGCTCCTGCCCCGGACGGCTCAGTGGAAGTCAGCCACCGCCGCGGGCACCAGCAATAAACGTGTGAGCGAACACAGGTACACGGGGAGGCGCACGTGCTTTGAGCCCTAGTGTCCGGGAGTCTAAGATTAAGTTTGAAAAAAGGAGCTGAAAAGTGGTGATTTTACAAGGAAAGTACTAACAGCACAGATGAACCCCTTGGTAAAGCCCCCATGGTCCTCACCTCACGGGATCCCCACAGTGTCCCTGGCTGGCGACGCTGCCTGCCAGCAACACCCCCCTCCCACCTTCATTAGAGCGGAGGACCCCCCCAGGCCACACAGGACTCCCAGCACCCTGCTGCACCCCACGGCCGTTCCCTGCCTGGGGATCCCACAGCCAAGTCCTTACCTGGGTGTCTAGATTCTGCACGGACAGGCCCAGGCGGTCCAGCTTCTGGTTGACGAAGGTTACGATGGCCTGCCCAAGAAAACACAGGGACCCCAGACGGGACCCCAGATCCAGGGCTCAGGGCTGCGACCTTCCCTCCTAGGGGGACAGAAAGCCTTGTGCACAGTACCCAGCACCCAGCAGGTGTGGGGCAAGGGTCTTGTTTCTCCCCCTTTGTCCCCTGAGGCGCAGGGCAAGTGAGTGGTGAGTGGCAGGTGGCAGGTGGCGGGTGGCGGGTGGGCCAGTGGCTCTTTGATCTCTTACCTCCTTCACGGCGCTCACTTTCTCTGGGGCCAGCTCAAATAATTCATCAAAGACATCCTCTGCGGACAGATCCGATAAACACCTCATCACAATGCTGCTGTCTTTGTGCCAAACAGGGACTTTTTTCTACAAAAGTTTCTCGGAGTAACCAGTCCGGAGGGACCTGTAATTTTATCTCAAGTCTCTTGAATTTAAGGACAGGCCTGATTCTAAGTCGCTGGCCCCCTCGGTGTCTGTGTGACTCGGGAGGAATCGCCTCCTCTCTCTGTGCCTTGGTTTCATCACCTGGAAAGTATGGCTGATCCTATCTACCAGGTGGGGTCATTGCAAAGATCAAATCCGGCAGCAGGTACGCACGTGGCGCGGTGGCCAGGCACACAGAGGGACTTCAACAAACAGCTGTCCTTTCTGCAGCGGATGCTACGATCGTGCCTGCTTGGCTGCCATCCTCTCCCCTGGGAACTTGCCCGGTCCCCTGCCAGTTCCCTGCTCCACCCACAGGTCCACGGGAGCTGCCGCAGGTTGCTGAATGAGGGCCAGCCCTGGACTGACACTCGGCCCCCTGGTCCCTTCCCTGGTGTCTCTGGATTGGCAGAATGAGGGCATCGTGTTCTCCCAGTGTCTGAACCTGCAGCGTGCCAAGGGCCGGCACCCACGGCAGCTGAGTCACGCCCCCAGGGCCTGGGGACAGAAGGAGCGTGTTGGCAGCTCAGGCTCCCGGTCCAACCCCAGACACCCCGAGCCCTCAGACTAATGCCTTCTCCCCACAAACTGCATTACTACTCTCTGCAGGTAACACGCCTCCCCTGGGGAGACTTCTTCTCAGGCACCAAGCACCCCAACTGGGAAGAAGTCTTAACCTCTGGGTTCTGCCCCTCAGCGGCTGTGTGACTGAGCAAGTGCTTTAACTCTCTGTGCCTCGTTTTTTTCCCTTTATGAGTGAAGGGGGGGAAGTAGTATCAGACTGCATCGCGCATGTTAAAATGTCCCATCAACCAATAATCACGGTGGAAACACCAATGGTCCCTTCCAGAGCACTTGGCCTGTGGTCAGGGAAATTGTGTCACTGAAGAAGCCAGGAATGAGAGGCAAATATTTGCTCGGATGACTCAAGCCATACCAGGATGAATGTGCTAGAAATGGTTTTGAGGGGGCCCTGCTCTGTGTCCTTGTCCCTCACCGTGTGCCTCCTAACAAACACTGCTCCCTGGGCAAAATCCCATATCCTCATGCCGCCCTACACACACACACACACACACACACACACACACCCCCCATCTGGCCAGCCTCCCTTGCATGTCCCCTCTCCTTGCTTTTCCCATTCAGCTTCCCTCTACCCTGTTCTCAGAAGCCCCTTGTTAGGATGGATGGATGGATGGATGGATGGATGGATGGATGGATGGATGGATGGATGGATGGATATATGAGTGGATGGATGGATGGATGGATGGAAGGATGGATGGAAGGATGGATAGATGGATAGATAGACAGATGAATAGATAGATGGATGGATGGATGGAAGGATGGATGGTGTTGAGTTCTCCGTCTCATCCCCCAAGGCTGTGGCTCATTGATCCTGCAAATTATCGAAGGACCTTCCAGCTGTCTAACAGAATGCATCATGGATGGATGGATGGATGGGTGGGTGGATGGATGGATGGATGGATGAACACATAAACAGCCTGCCAGGCAGACTGACTGAGGAATAAATGAATGAAAGAAGGAAAGTCTGAGTCAGTGAGTCAGCTGCGCAGAGCTCTGTCACATAAGCAGCAGCCACAGTGTTGAATCATCACGATTAAGCCCTCGCCATGTGCTGAGCACATTTACAAATGACCCCTCGCCACGAGCCTAAGAGGCGGGTGCCAGTGTTATCCCATCTCACAGACGAGGCACAGACAGACCGAGAGACTTTCCCAGGCTCACGCGGCTAACGAGCCGGAGAATTGGTGTTTGAACCCAGGCCAGCTGGCTCCAAGGCCCACACACTCGATTCCCTCATTATCGCCGCTGGAGATTATACGTCTCTAGACCCACACGAGCAGATCGTGAGAAGGAACAGCTCTGTTCCATGGTGGACAGACAGAAAGAGAGACGAATGCAGCGGGAGAAGCCTGGGGACACAAACGCAGGCCACGAAGGACAAGCGAGGTGACACACAGCCATCAACCCTGCATCATCACATGTCCGTTAACACGCATCCGCCAGAAAAAGATTCCTCAGTCCCGAGAGTACTCACTCGAAGGTGGGTCCTTGTCTGTGCTAAAAGGAAAATCGTAAGGGAGAAAAAAAGCAAAAAAAAAAAAAGAAAAGGTTAAAAAATCTTCAACTCTGTACTCTGTTAACAGGACAAGTCTTGGTACCAGCAAATATATGCACGATTAGATGCACATATCCTGAGTTCATGGAGAGAGACATCAAAACAGTGGCAATGTTTGTGGGGGGCTGGAGAGGGGATGGGAGCGCACATTGGGGGCGCCAGGACTGTTCTGTGCCTCGGGGATGGGGATCACACAGTCCGTTCGCTTTGCCCGTTCTAGAAGCCCATAGAAATGAAATGGCACAGTGCTGCTCCTCCGTCTGGAGCCTTTCGCTCCGTTTTTGTTGTTTTTGAATGGTTCTTCTTTGACTTAGTTGTTAAATTTTCCACCCCGCCCCCGCCCCCGCCCCCTAAAGCAAGGTTATGGGCCCAAAGCTGGCCAAGCTTGGGAGAGCCAGGGGGCCCCTCTGCTGGGAGCCAGACCCATGGGTGTCAAAAGCAGTCGGAACAGCGTAAAGGAAGCA